AACTACAGGGTGGTCCACTAAATACTAAACTACAGGGTGGTCCACTAAATACGAAACTAGAGGGTGGTCCACTAAATACTACACTACAGGGTGGTCCACTAAATACGAAACTAGAGGGTGGTCCACTAAATACTAAACTAAAATTTCCATTTCTTTTATATTCTGTTCGCTGACGGAACTTTCAAAATAGTCTGAACGTTAATGAACCATTCTCAGCCCTGTCTAGTGCCTATTGGATATATGCTTAATAAGATATTAGAATATAAAGAACATAAATCTATTTTTGGTTTAGTATAAGGGAGGCCCTGGGGACAGGATAGAGTTCTGTATATTCGTTAGCTGTCTTGAATATGTAAATTGGTTGCAATATTTACAAATATATTTAGTTTATTTATTACAATATACACGTGACATTTCTACATTTCTTATTTTCCTGCTAAAAAAATGTTATAACTTATTTATCTTTTTGCGACGATTTTGATTTTTCAATTAAAAATCTTTTTGGGAAAAGTTTTTTCCTATGTATGCGTGTCACAAAATTTCTTTTCAAATTTTATTAAAACGTTTTGATAGATTGAAATGTAATTATATCAAATACTAGCTTGGAAACCCAGCTTTACCTGGAAACTTTTCTGTGGCTTTTCCGAGTCCCCAAATCAAAATTTGAGGCAAATCGGTCAAGAAATTTCTGAGTTCTGATCAGACATCCAAAAAGACAGACAACCAGAGATTATTTCTTGCTAAATATAGCTTGAACACCCAGATTTGCCTGGACTAAATATTCGTTACAAAAGTCAAACTACTCAAGTTGGAACTTGTAAAGCAAGTAAACAAGAATATTCCCGTGGTTTTTCCAAGTTCCTAAATAAAAACTGTGAGGCAAATCGGTCCAAGGGAAACCAACTGAAACAAACAGAGATTACCATTTATATATATATATATATATAGATATAGATTTCTATTTCTATCTTTTTTATTATAAATTGTTCTAAATTATAAATTTTGTTCAGTAATAAGGCTCAGCTGGTGTACGTTATTCTTCAACTTCTGATTGGACTAATGTGCTTTGCAACCATATTGGGATACATTGCCAGTATAGTTACCAATATATCAGCTGCTAGGAAGGATTTTCAGGGTGAGCTAATGTTTTTGTTAATTCTTCATTTTTCAGTAACTATTATGTTTATTTTTCAGTAACTATTATGTTTATTTTTCAGTAACAACTATTATGTTTATTTTTCAGTAACTATTATGTTTATTTTTCAGTAACTATTATGTTTAATTTTCAGTAACTATTATGTTTTATTTTCAGTAACTATTATGTTTATTTTTCTTAATATGTTAGTTCTTGATTCATAACCTTTCTTAAAGCTTTTTTTTGAGCAATTTCTCATTCATTTTTATATCTATTTTGAAGCACCTTCTCTTTTTTTTCTTTTTTTCTACTTTGCAACGTCTCACTACTTTTTTAATTTTACTTTTGTTTTCATCATTTTTTACCTTTTTTTGTTTTTATTTTACTTCTATTGTTTTTATTTTGATACTTTTTTAATAGTTTTTGTTTGATTCTCTATTTTTTGAAACTTCTGAAACCTTTTTTGTCATTATTTTTCCTCTCTTATTCCCTCATTTTGTTACAACTCATTATTTTTAGTTTTTTTTGCTTTGTTCACTTTCATTTTTCTTTCTCCTGAGTTTTAAACTTTTAAATGGACGTAACGAGTTAATCTCGAAATCGTTAAACCTAGCAGAGAGATGTGTATCTTAAAACCTGTGGGATTTTGCTAATAGAACAATTATAACCCCCGCACCCTCCCCCCACCCTCAAAGAGCAGTGACTTAACCTAATCCGCCCATTCAAAGGTTCCCATCGTTATCCCCCAAAATTCATATATTTTTACAATGAAGACGACTTTTCGATTAAAATTTTTATTTCAAAAAGCTTTTTTTTCAAATTATAAGTTTACAAGTAAACACTTAGAGGGTGTAAAATTGACAGTTTCTCTTTGTTTCCATGCTTATGTGTCTCCATGCTGGTTTAACAGCTTGGTAGAAATCAAAATTGAAATCAAAACTTGTCTTCATTGTATTGATATATAACGACGACTGCATTTTGTATATTTAGCAAAGCTGGACGGAGTAAAGACGTATATGAGGATTCGGAAGGTGCCCAGTAGTATTCAGAACAAAGGCAATAATATAATCAATTCCAGACCTTTCTCAACACACCNAAAGAAAACAATACTGAATTTTAGAAAAAAAATATGCGACAATTTTGCGAAAAACTGAAAAAACTTGGCTTTTTTTCGCGAAACTTTGCCTTAATCTGTTTCGCTAAAAAATTCAAAATTTTCGTAGAAAAAAAATTCGAAATTTCCCGGAAAAAATGACGATTTTCGCAAGCTTTCGCGAAATAATTGCATTTTCAGTTTTTTTTCGATTTTTTTGGGAAACCCTACTGCATACCCTCCCCTTCCCCTGTGTCGTGCATTAGTTCATCCCCCCTGCGACAGTTTCTCCCCTCTAGTGTTTTTACCATTTCAACACAATGTTAGACATAAAAAGTAATGTTAAGCCATTCGCCAATGTTTTATAACGTGTTATGATGTTATTGAAAAAAAAACTTATAAATCTATAAATTAAATATTAATAAATTAGTTGAAAATTTTGAAAAAGATGACATTTAAGATTAACTAATTTTTTCTTTTGCTTTGGCGTTGAAATGGTTAACACATGCACTAGGGAGATGAACTGATACCCGACACCGGGAATTTAACATATCCTTCAAATTAATAGTTTTCAAGTCAACTATTCAAACCAAAAGTTATGACCTAAGCACACAAATGTTTTACAGCAATTTTAGTTCAGAAATTTTTTACTATTGCTTTCCTCATTCTTCCTTTCCTAGTTTTAAATAAAAGGAATTGATTTTGTTCCTTTAGTGATCAAATGGTTCGATTATCTCTGGTTAACACAGAAATCATCGGACGAAGAGAAATCAATCAATTGTCTTCCAGGTAGAAGTTAATTAATTATCTCCGGGTAGAAAACAATCAATTATCTTCCAGGAAGAAATCAATCAATTTTCTCCCATATAAAAATCAACCAATTGTCTTCCAGGTAAAAATCAATCAATTGTCTTCCAGGTAAAAATCAATCAATTGTCTTTAAGGTAGAACCCAATCGATTGTCTTCCAGGTAGAACCAAATCGACTGTCATCCAGGTATAAATCAAACAATTGTCTTTAAAGTAGAACCCAATCAATTGTCTTCCAGGTAGAAATGAATCAATTAATCCCCGTGGAATGTAAACAACATGTTCCCCCTCTCCTTAATTCTACTCTCATTCACATCTCATAATCTCTCAAATATCAACCCACTATAAAGTGTATTGTACAGTACAGTACAGTACAGTACAGTACAGTACAGTATTCTTTATTCTAGATAAACTTAAGTGTGAGATTAGCTACATGTACACCTGAAACTGTACCGTACTGTACTGTACTGTATCTTATACTATATTCTAGATAAGCTGAAGGGTGAGATAGCTATCCATGTACACCTGAATACACTGAAACTGTACCGTACTGTATTGTACTGTATCATATACTATACTCTAGATAAGCTGAAGGGTGAGATAGCTATCCATGTACACCTGAATACACTGAAACTGTACAGTACTGTACTGTACTGTATCATATACTATACTCTAGATAAGCTGAAGGGTGATATAGCTATCCATGTACACCTGAATACACTGAACCTGTACCATACTATACTGTACTGTATCATATACTATACTCTAGATAAGCTGAAGGGTGAGATAGCTATCCATGTACACCTGAATACACTGAAACGGGTTGAAATCTTCCAGAATACAGAAGCTGGGTTTCTTTGTGAACTCGTTCTTAGGCTCAAACCTGTACTTTTCAGCCCAGGAGATTATATATGTAGGAAAGGTAAGAGCTAGCAAGGTCAAGGTCAAGGTCAAGGTTAAGTCCAAGGTCAAGGTCAAGGTCAAGGTCAGGG